CAGCCTCTTGCTGCACTATGGGCACCTGATTCCGGTGACAGTGCGTGGAGTTGTTGGGAGGCAGTCAGAACACCCTGTTCTGTTATGAACATCACCACTGCCCTGAAGCCTCAGGTAGCAGCATTGGCTGCAGCTAGTAGGAGGTTTTTGTGCCTTTTAGAGGCTTTTCCTCGGATAGTAGATAGCCAGGCATATCCTGATTGGCTAGCCATTAGCTAGTCCGTCTAGCCTTTAGAGCCAGTTGTTCTCACTGGTAGCTAAGCTAATTCACTTTCCGTTTCACTCGCAACCACCCAGTGTTCCCCCTGGCTTTTGCACCTTCTCACTATTGGTATACTATTATATTCATACGTGAGTTTAGGGCGGGTCTGGATGCCACGAAACATGGCATAAAATGGCCGTTTTTCCAAGAAAAGTTGCCAAAATCGAAATCTTTCATTTTTCGAGATTTTGTGCGTCTGGAAGCCTCCATGCACTTCAAAACAATATAATATGCCATTGAGAATTGGGTGTTTTATGGCAAAAAAAAGGAACTATTTGGCCCAACTTTTTATGGAAGTTTGTAAACACGTTGAAGTCTTGCATTTCAATCGGAAATCAAATAACTTTTCCCAAATTCAGCTGGCTTCCAGACAACTTTGTAGATACTTCTTTTCTCCTTTTTGTCAAGAGGGACGATAAAGGGGTAGCACTGGGGAGGACCGACGACGAAGAAGACTTGAGTGGTCGAGGGCAAAACCAAAGATGATCATTAACGGACTGTTTAGCTGACCTATGATTGGGCAGAAAGAGAACACCGGATAATTCCGGATGACCGGATATTATCCGTAAGTGACCGAACCTCGGCGAAAAAGGCCAAAGCAAGAACGGCCAAAGTGCCCCTTCTTGACAGCCACCCCACTGGGCAACGGACTGCTGAAGGCCTTCGAGACGAAGTTCTCAAAGAGAGGCAATGTCAAAGGCAAAAAGGGCTTAGCGAAAAACTCGCGGAGGCCAAAAAGTGCCAAAGGCATGTCACTACAAAAGCCAACCTGAGAACAGAGGCGAAGAAGGTAGATCAGGAACCACAAAAAATAGTGTTGAGCACATAAGTGCATGGTTCCTCATAGAGTAAGGCAAAAGCCTAAGATAATGCATAAATGCAAGAGTTCCAAAGGAGTTGTGTCCATGAGGAGGCAACTTGAATAATGACTAATAAAGTCAAGTGTTGTTTTGGCCATTGATGGCTTAGCCGACAAGGCTGTTGATGGATGGA